ATTAAATTAAAAGGGAAAACCTTAGCTAAAAAATAGATGAACTTCTATGTATCTATGTAGCGAGGATTATAATATATCACGAGATGAATATTGATTTTATTGCTTCTTATATATTTTGATAGGTTTTTGGATCCAATCATATTTGGCGACTACCCAGCATCTATGAAGGAGTTAGTTGGCAAAAGATTACAACAATTTGCCTCATGGGAATCTAAACTTCTAAAAGGATTAATTGATTTTTTTGGCTTAAATTATTATTTTTCACTATTTGCATATAATACACTTGCACCTGATCCCACAAAATCAAGTGTTTTAACATATAGAAGATTTGGAACTATAAATAAGTATGATTAACATTGATACTATAATATTTCACTTAAGTATAATCAATGTATAATAAGCCTTGTCAATTTTTTTGAGCAAGAATCATATATTGATTAAATTAAATACATCTTTTTTGTTACAAATAATCGTGATGGTGCTATGATCAGTACAAATGTAAGAATTATAATAATATTTTAATTAAACTTACTAATAAATGCATGTCTATACACACAAACAACATTATATAATGCATTGAAAGATAATATCTATATATATACACATATTAATAGTATTTTTCAAATTGAAATATTGCAGTCGACACTATTTTATTTTAATGCAACGGGATTTTATGATCTTTTGACTTATTTGAGAAACAAGTACAGCAATCCTCTCACCTACATTACAGAAAATGATATATTTCATTTTTAATGATCAATTAAATATATTTATATTAATGATTACATATTTGAATTTTTTTAATAAATAATAATTTAAATCTTTTTATCTATTAGATTATGTTGACAATAGTACAATATTATTTAATGAAATTTTAGCTAATGTGGGAGGAATCGACTGGTATCAAACCCACAAAAAATTGTGTAATTCATTTTTAATTATCAATTGGATATATTTATATCAATAATTACATATTTAAATTTTTTTAATAAATAATAATTTAAATTTTTTTTATCTATTAGGTTATACTGACAGTAGTGTAATATCATTTAATGAAATTTTAGCTAATGTGGGACGAATTGATTACTATCAAACTCATACTGCATTCTTAAAATAAGAAATTGAGTAAGTTTCTTTACTTACTATGAGGAACATAAACTTATTTAATTTTTTTTTTATGCAGTGAGGGAAGTAACATTGTAGGGTATTTTGTATGATCATTACTAGACAATTATGAATTTGTTCAAGAATTTTTAGTGCAATTTAGTTTATATTATTTAGATTATAAGAACTCATTAGATAGACGACCTAAAGCATCAGATTTTTGATTTACCGACTTTCTCAATCCAAACTCGAAAGAAGTTGCTTAACTTTTAAAGCAATGGGACTCCTCTTTTACCATCTATTTTCGAGCTTCAATATAATAAAATTAATGTAACTCTTACGCATTCGTTCAAGTTTAAGTAGACAACGTAAACGATCTCCATAAAATGTTTCTATTGGATTATCCTATCCAACAGAATAAAAAGTAAAAAAAGATCGGTATATCGTGTACCGATACTAGTAATCTACTATGTTGTATCTTGAAGCCTATGATCGGTAATAAATTATATATCTTTTATTATTACGAAGTGTTAGTGTAGGGTGGAGACTGCCCAATGCTAAATTATATCTTACTAAATACTCTTTGTACCTTATTTACCTATACATAAAGTGAAACCATGAATCAGAAACAAAGAATTATATACAGAGGAAAATCGTATATTCAAGTGCAAAAAGAAAACTTTGCAATGGACATTCAAGGTCTTCCTCACCCTGGATCAAGATCAATTTATTTACTTATTCTAACTGTAGTATCAAAAATCCTAAAAGTAAACCTTTTTGCCATTTTAGTTTTATCCCTGCGTAGTTAAACTCTACGTAAATTTTCAAATAAATTCTAAAAATAAACTTAACTTGTTCCAACATGGGCTGAAACATTCTTGCCACAAAATCACTGGAGCATTCTCCATTCATACACCACATAACACAGCTCATCTATCTCCCACGGTAAATCATGACATCAACAAATAATCACACATGATATATACTTGGAGGCAAAAATATTATATGGACAGCCAAGGAAGCGCAGAAGTTATAATCTCATCTCTCAGCCAGATTTGGATTTGGCTTTCAAAATAGATGATCTCTTTGACAGAGGAAAAATCGTCTCATACAGATTGTTGAAGAAGCCTTTATCATACACGTTATTCTTGACAACTGTATCAGTATCTTCTCGTGGGGATCTTTGGAAGAAGGCTCTCCATTTGCTTTCAGGAGGCTTGGCTTCATCACTTATCTCATTTATGCCGCCTTTTAGTGCCGCAGAACTTGCCCTTGCTTCCCTTAGCTTCCTCTGCCAGTTTATGTATTCTTGCCACTTGAAGGTCTGTAGTTTCAAAGAAGAAAAAGATGATTTTAGATGCATAACAGTTTCAAAAAATGCCATTGAAAAGAATGTTCCCATCTTCTGCCTGTCTAGTTCTTGAAATAGAATTTGGTACATGAACGTATTTTCTAATCATCATTTTCTAAATTCATTATTTTATGCATGTATTTATTCATAGAAAGTTGTAAGAGTTGTATACTAGTAGAATAATTTTAAAAACAAAATAGTTTTCAAGAAAATACTAAGGACAACATTTAAAAATTTTTAACTTCATCCGCATTTCACTATTGTTCACTTAATTGTTAACTAATTTACACTGTTTTATATTTTTTCATTTCAAAAAAAAAATAGAACAGAAAATGTGTTTGGTTGGTCAAAAGAGAAAACTGTTTTATGAAAGTGAAAATACTGGAAGACAATAAAAAAAAAACAATTTTTCATTTTTAGGTCCAAAACATGTTTTCTAAAATTGTTTTCACTATTATTTTTTGAAAATATAAACTTCATTTTTAGAAACTGAAATTTAGAAAACGTTTTCAAGAACCAAATGTAAATTAACCTTGTTTGATCTTGTTTCCATGAAAATCGAAACACAAAACCATCAACTAAACTCATTTTCGTTGTGCAGAAAATATATTACAAAGATCTTCTTGAAAAACATTCCTATCCCTGCATCTGCAGATAGTAATTATATTGAAGATTGGAAGTGAAAGAACATTATTCAACAAACTCTGTGGAATGAATAAAAATGTACCTCATTTGTTGTCGTATTTGTGAGACAGAGCTTGGCATGATAACCAAAGAAACCCGCCAATAGAAGGGAAACTATGGCAAGAAACACCATAAGAAGTATTTGAGTATTATAAGAGCTCACCAACCACTGTTACAAACCAGAAAATTGTTACTCTTAAGGCCAAACCAAAAGCACCATGTAAACAAAAAAAAAATGGCTGACAAAACAACAAAGTCACGTATGCATGATAATCACAGAGCTCAGAGAAGGTGTCCACATTATCCAAGCCAAATTGCAAGCAAAAGCATAAACAATTGATCATAACAGACTTGCTGATATGAACTTCATTGTCAATGTGCAAATTGGAGCAGCATTAGAATATTCAACGATTCTGAGCAAAATCATTAACATAGGACAAATCATACTCCATCCCTGCAATTTGTTGTCTTATACAAAAATCTTCACTTCTTAAAACTGAAAAGAAAATATATTATCTATAATTTTACACCATCTGCCCCTCACTATTCACTGTATTAAAAAATTGAGAAAATGTGCCTAAAATGTGGAAATCACACCACAGCAGATGGCAAAAGACACTTGGCTCAGAAAAAATAAATGCTACAACAATATTTTCCCTTTGGAGAATACTTGATTCCCTGTTCTTTTAGGTACTCCCAATAGTAGGTGTCTGTAGTTTGAATATTAACTATATTATGAAATAGAGAAAATTAGTTACTAGTATCTTTAGTAAAGTCGACCACAAGAGACAAACTGTATGATAATTTGTTAAATAAAGCATTTTCCATTGGATTTTAAAAAGTGAAAGCGTTTCCGTATAATACAACATTCCTCGTGGAATAAAATGTAAACCGCCATTAACAAAAAAGATATTTCTCCAACATTTTTGTATCGCTGTTCATATTTGCTTCCATTCCATATAATTGCTCTTATATCAGTAATGCAAGAACATACTAGTCTCCCTATCTGTTTTTGATCTTTGGGGATACAGAAATGAATAACATGTTAAAAATAGCATTGCTTAAAGATTCCAAATGATTATATAAAGGCACATGTCCACAAGTAGACATGCAGAATGATCATGATTGAGGAACAGAAAGTATTGCAACAAAGGAGAGAGAACGTGCGTCTCTTATCGGTAAAATAAAAGTTAAAAATTAAAAAAAAAAGAAAAGTAAAAGACGTCACCATTCTTAAAGTAACTTAACAAAAACAAGCCTAAATATACTTTTCATAAAAACACCAGAACATTCATCAAATACGAAATTAGAAATTATCATCACAATCACGCAAAAGACCTGGAGATTCCACTGAAACTTACATTTTTTTAAAAAAATCTTAGCAAAACACAAATGAATGGCCTTGCATCTGAGAAGAAGTTGGATAGCAGAGAAGTATGGTAAGTGATGTTATTTCACTCACCTGTATAACATGAGGAGCTAAACTCTGAAAAGAGTTTTCTATGCCATAATAAACTGCCAAAAAATGAAAACACACACATATATATATGATATATATGCCCAAAAGCTGATAAACCCAAACATGAATATATCAGATGCAAACAGTACCTGTTAGAATATCAACCACCTTTAACTCTTTCAAACGTCCAGCAAGAACCAACCCAATGACAACTGTTCCATATAAACAAAGAAGGAAGTGCCTGCAGAATACTGAAGAACCATTTAAATAAATAAAGAAAACAGGAAAAAGGAAATGATTAAATGGCCAAGTGATCACAAATGAATTAAACAGTAAAGGTGCCACAACAGCTGTGGTAAGCAAAAATAGACAAGGAATGTTTAGCCACTTCAGAAACGGCATATGGTCAGTCCAAGATATACTCCTAAAACCTTTAATACCATAAAACTAGAATATTCAGCCAAAAAATAATAATGATAATGAAACCTTTCTTCTAGTCTGCATTATCACCTTGGTGTACATCATATTTCTAGAATTTCATTCGAGATTCAATGACTTTTGAATATCTGTTTGGCAGCAAAAAACTAAAAAAACTCTCTTAGTCAACAAGACGGCTACCATGTCAAGATATTTCACCACCCAAGTATCTGTAAAACAGTTACCAGTGAGGGACAATGAAATGGGAGGATGTTCATGTTAACAAGTTTAATATGAGAGTATAGAACTTCTGACGCTAAAATGGTAAATAACTCACCAGAAAAGAAAAGCCAAAAAGTATCGGGTATTCTTCTCTCCGATACAATTATTCTGCAGCAGCGGAAAGATAAAGTTTAGCTATTTAATATGGTTCAATACATACATATAGGATATAAAATAGTTTATGTACTGAACAAACCATCCATCCGCAGTGATGGTCAAACCGAGCCACACAACGATTGCATATGCTGCAGTGCTTGGACCTAGCAGGTCTGAATCAGACAAAAGTAATTCATAATTATATTGAAGCAATCGGAATAACTTGACAGTTTCCCGTTACAAAATGAATCAACTCACTTCGGAATTTTACAAGTAGTGCATTCTTTCTCAGAAAATATAATATTATCATAGGGATAGGCAGAAATATATCGGGAAACATTCTCATCCTTCACTGTTCCTGGATCAGAAAAGCTAGTCAATAGGAAGAGTAGAACACCAATAACAACTGCCACCAGGCTTGTGTACCTGCAAAAGTATGAAATACAAAAGGATATCTAGAGCACATTTCCACAAGATGAGTAATAAAACAACATAAGCCCATAATTCTGTATATGACTTACCTGTGAATTTCACTTAAATAATACCCAGGAATATATCTGAAGGATGACTTTACAGTGAAGTAATAAGTTGCCCCAAGTATTCCAAAATATAAAATCTGCAATTCACGGGTAAATTAAAATGGAAGATCGACCCATTGTGAAACTAAGAATTTTGTGCTTGTAAATCAACACATTGAAGCACAAGAGTTTGCTAAAAAGTTAATAACAGAAAAGAGTTAACATCATAAGCTGAAATAGCTTGTCAAGTGCCAAATAACTTTGACATGTATTTCTTTGGGCAAATCACAAATTTAGTCTGTACATTATGAGTTACACTGGAATTCAGTCCAAAAACTTCCTTTGTTTAAATTTGTTTCCTAAATTTATAAAATTGTTTCAAAATTCTTTTCTTTTTTTTTGAAATTGAACCTTTTACAGAAATAATAGAAGTTATTTCTATCTTGCATGGGTAACATAAACGTAACTGAAAAAAAATATAACTACTCTGTTTAAGACTAAAAATTAGAAAGAAATTAAAAAAAAAAAAAAAAAAGAAAATTGCTATTGTAAAACTTTTGTTACTACCATCTGCATGGCTTAAATAAAAAGATTCTATTAAAATAATAATGAGTTTATTAAGTTTAATATTTAGTTGTTATGACTAAAAGCTACTAAGATGATAACGAGTAAAAGAATTTCTATAATTTGTTTGCTAAAATTTACACAGTTTCTAAAAAAATAATGAATTAAAATAAGTTTAGTTACCAACTTATAACGAAAAAGATTTCCAGACTCTAATTGGAACATAGAGGATAGCTGTGAAATAGTAATTTGGTTCTTCTTCTAATTGAAAATAACACCAATTAGTCAATTACGAACAGTTCCAAGTCCCACCTACCATACCTAAGCGGGTCAAAGTTTTCAGTCACGAGAAGCAAAATCCCTAAGTAATTCTTCGAACAGCAACATGACTCAGAACGTAATTAAGGACTATTTTGCAGTCAATTTTACCTGCAAGATAGGATTAGGCCGATCGCAGCAATAATATTCGACGGACAGAACCATGTCCGTACCCCTGGCGCCAAACACGGCCTCAACAAACCGGCTGCGACGAATCAAATGAGATCACAAGCACAATATCAATCGCGGCAATAGACGAGAGTGAAAAAGAAAGACGAGATTTAGTGAATGAGGAAGTACAGGAAGTAATCATAGGCGCCGTAAGTGAGGAAGAAGTGGATGCGTTGAATAGGGGTGCCACGGAAGATCGGCCACTGGCCGCAGAGGAAGGACACCACCACCACCAGCGTCACCAGGCCGTGGCACACCAGAAGCCACTGCGTTGCCATTGTCGTTTCCAATAGAAGCTTTTTTTTTTTTTGTTTATAGCCTGTTTACAGAGACGAAGTTTGGGAGTTTGTGGTTGGTGACAGATCAGGTGAGGAGACGGAGAACAGATCATGCGGTCCGGGTTGATTCGAGACCTCCGGTGGTTTTGGACTTTGAAATTTAAGAGGGTGTTTCTTCTTTCTGTAATTCTGTTGTGTTTGATTTCTTCTTTTGGGTTTCGGACTTTGGGGAAATGGGTGGGTTTCCAACCTTCATATAAAATTATTTATTTTTACTATTAAAATAGTATTTTTTATTTTTATAAAATAAAAATTAAATATTTTCTTTTATCTCACGTAAGATTAAATAGTTAAAAAAAAAATAAAAATTAATGTAAAAATAAATATATATTATTTTATATTGAGAAATATATATTTTTAATAATAAATTAATAAAATTATGTATCTTTTTTATAATTATTTTTTAAATTTTCATAAATATGACTAAAGCGTCATTGGTGTTATTTAAATTTTTACAAAAATTATTAAATTAATTTTTAAAATTTATCACTTGTCATAATTTAATACTTATTATTTTTTATTACAATTTAATTATTGCCATTTTTCATTCATTTTAAATGTTTAATTTTTTATTTTTAATAAAAAATTAAAATAATTATATTACATTCAGATAGTTTAATTAAAATTATTTTTAAAATATTTAAATATTTTCTAATTATTTTAATTTTTTATTAAAAATATAATAAAATTTGAATATTTAAAATAAATAAAAAATATAAGAAATCAAATTATAATAAAAAATTTAAAAAAAATAATAATTACTAGTGTGAAATTTCGATAACTAATTTAATAATGTGATCAAATTTTTCCTCTTCAACTCTCATTTCTCTGATAATAAGCACCCACCTTAAAAGTTACCAATTAAATTCCTACATTCAATAAACTTACAAGATTGAATAGCAGTAACTTCATAAATTATTTTCCATTATGCACAATTAAATTGATATAAAAACTAAATTAGTAATTCTCCAAAAGTAAATGGGAATCAAACCGAAGGCTGGTTTGCAGCAAAAGACAAAACATATTTGCATTGTTTTATATCGTGAGATCTTCCAATATTTGTAATACCAGTTCCTCAAATTTTTGTAGCAGCAGTGCATTGTTGTACCAAGGCCAATTCACCCTGCAATAACAAATTTCAGCATTCAGTATATATTAGCAAATGGCCAGTATGGCAGAACTTCAGCAAAATTTTCACCTCATTTTTTGAAGAACTTATAAAGAATTTCGACATTCGGGATAGATTGCCAAATGCCCAGTATGGAGTCAATCATGTTAGCTAAAACCCAGATGATGCAACTAGATGTCAGCATCCTTAACTGCATCCTCTATGATATCAATACAGGACCCTACAGATGTTCCCATGGACATGGCCTCTGCAAGCTTAGTTCGAGCAACCTGGTGTCGGCGTAAGAGGAGGATAGTATTCAGTACTGACCATCTGACTTGGGAGTCTGCTTTCTTCTGTGTGAATCCCAAGCTTTTAAGCAAGATATCAAACTTTTCCATGGAACAAGAAAGTTCAATGAAATAACATTATTATTACTTGCACAATCTCTCTTTTTCACATGAAAGGGAAACTAATTTTAGCAGATGATTGAACAAAGCAGAGGTATAATGCAACCTTATTTATGTCATCAAGGCCTCCCTCTGCATATCCAAATAAAAGATACTCGGTTGCCACTCCTGCCAATGCTATGCATGAGAACCTGTTTAGAGTCTGATTATAAGGTACATAACCCACAGTGAGAACAGTTCTCAGCTTCAGGAAGAAGATGAGTAACGTCTAGATAAATATGCAAATCAGATATGTATAAAATCAAAAATATGGAAGTCTAAGAGAAGTAGACACTAGAGAACATACCGTAGCTGATACTTTCCCTGCATTGACCTGCATTAAAAACAATTTGTAGTTAAAGAAGAATAAAGAACTTGGTTTCCTGGAGCATTTTGATTTAAATCATCTTCTTCCATCCATTTCTCCTCACAGATAAAGTTTCAGCATTAAGTCATTTTTCACTAGCTCTAACTGTTAAATAAGCTCTGTACTGAAAGCCACCAATCGTTTTTCTTTCATGAACTCAAAAGTACAACATTTACTTAACTTATATCATATATATATATGTATAGATAATACTGATTGTAACCTTTTACCAGACTGTTACTTCCTTGCTTCTGAACTGGGTTCCCAACGGTAATCTTATTTTAAACAGAAGAATGATACCAAAAAAAATTCAAAATGACATACTTCTTCAAGGAACTCATTGTCAACAAATGCAGTGCCTGCTTGAACATTGAGTGATCCTTCCTTCTTCAAAGCCTCCAAACTAGATAAAGTGTATCCTTTAGGAAGAATCCCCACCAAGTAGGCGATTAAGAAATGACCAGCTTCATGCTGCATCAAAGATTTGCCTTAGAGCTGCTTCCCTAGAGTTAGGTTCTAAAACTTCTATTCTCGAAGTCAAGCAACGAGAAAGAAAGAGTATGGATTCTAATACCATATTAGATGTAAGTAAAGCAATATAGTGATTGATCAATGAGGCATTAACAAGAAATTAGCCAAGCAAGAGTAGTAATTTCCTGGTAGCCTGATAGTATTGACAACATGTTTATTCAATGGACTCCTCTAAATTAAAAAGGGAAAATATCTAACAGAGACAATGAGAGGATAGAGAAATCACTTACTTGAATAACCCTGTCGTGATACTTCTGGCTGAAAGTGTGGCCAATTGTGTCAAGAACCAAGCTACCAACTCCTCCATTAAACGAGACCTGAACAAATTTCATGAGAGACACAAGCCAGTAAAGGATAATCATTATAAAGACTTGCTAGCATAAGCAAATTACCAAATCCAGTGTCCACAGAAATAATATTCCCAGCGAAAGGAATAAAACTTGCTGAGGATTGAACTCAAACACCTTCCAGGCAGCAAAGCCTCCTACAAGAGACGCAAGCTGCAGATTCCTTTCTATCGAACCAAGAGTGGCATCCACAGGCGATAAAAGCGACACCGGCTCTATTCCATTCAGCTTCAGTTCATCCAAGGTGTAGAGTCTCTGCGGTACCTGCACAAAAATCATACTCATCAAATGAAGAAAATCCAAACAAACTCAAAAGTTCAAACTTCAGGCCTAATGTAACCCTTGCAGATCTTCGAAAACAAAAATGGAGGACAATGTTATCAGAGAGACTTAAACCTGACGGGCGGCACCGAAACAGCGAAGTCCGCCAGGCTTTCCTTGGAGATCCTTGACGAGAGAGAGTGCTGCCTTGTCATCTCCCTTGGCGAGCTCCTTGTCCACCTGCGATAAAGCTTGTCTCCTCGATATCCCAATTTCAGAAGAAGAACTTATTACAATTCCATGGCAGAAGTATTTCTGTGAGTGATAAGATAGGCTCCACATGCCCGTTCAACGAGAAAGCCAGTCAGAACTTGAAATTTGAAACTTCAATTCGCCTCTTACGTTAGGATTTTATTATCCCAGTTTTTTTTTTTCCCTTTTTAGATTTTAATTTCCCACGTTTTCAACCACTCAATTTGGATAATTAGTTTTAATTAATCATATGATATTTTATTATTATTAATATGAAAAATGACTGAAGCTTATAAAAAAAAGAAATTATTTCTAAATAAAAATAATAATCATATTTAACGACTATTCAGATCATGCTGTTTAATCATATATCTAACGAATTATATAACGCCATGTCATGTTACCAGATTAAAAGCAGCGGCACCAATATCCGGTCGACAATCGGGAAAGGGATCGCCGCCGTTTTCTGGCAGAGTTGAACTCCATTCTTGATTGCTCCGGAATGAGCTTCGCGGTTCATCTCCATCTGACAAATGCGGCTACCGGAACTGATTTGGCTAAACGGCGCCGTCGAGCTCTGGAAAGAATAGACAGAGAGCTCTCGAAGGGAAATTTCAAAACTGCTCTCTCTCTCGTCAAGCAATTGCGCTGCAAACGAGGTGGCATCCGTGCCTTTGGCACCGCCAAACAGGTTCCTCTCTTGCGAACTTGTGCAGTGTTCTTCTTCTTCTTCTTTTGATTTTGAATATTACTGCTGAATAATTACTAATAGGTTCCGAAGAAATTGTCATCATTCGATGATTTAGAGCTAAGTGGAACTGACTTATCGGTTCTCCGACTGTTGGTTGATTCGGTAATGGACTCCGTACAGAGCTGCAGTCAGTTTGCTTTACTTGACGAGGTATGTTAATTCATTTAGCCGTAATGATTTCTTTATTATACTCTTAATCATTTTAGATTTTCATTCAAAATGAGATCTTATCAAAATTATGCTGATCGATGATATGTTTTATCAGAATTCAAGTTCATCCAGAGATGCTTCTTCTCCCTGTTTTGCTACTTTTTTCTGTCTTGAGCGTATCACTACGGATTATTTTTTTTTTTTGTTTCTACTATAAAGTGGACCACTGGTTTGTGATTGTGTTTTCTTATATAAATGCGATGAATTCTTCATTTGGAGCTGGTTAGGAGGAGTGTTAAACATGCTCGTTCTGCTTCCTCTATCATAGATATCATCCAAAGGAACCCAAAGGTTGACGAATGTAGAAGACCGCGAGTTTTCCTGCGAAGATTATCACTACAGATGCATCCAAGTGAGAGCTCTACTCGTTGTAGCTTCTGATAATATGTTGATTTGTTAGCCCATAAAGACATGACAATCATGTTTGAGCTTCTGAATAATGCATATTCATACCCTGAGCGCTTCTAAACTCTTGCATCCAAACTGAATTGACAATAGAAGATAACACGTGCAGCATGAAGCTGGTCATTTTCTGGTTGGCTACTTGCTTGGGGTTCTTCCTCGAGGTTATAACATAACAAGCATAGAAGATCTGAAGCGCGATAATTTTGGAATAGCAAGAATAGAGTTTGTGGGTCTTGAATTTCTTAAAGAAGTAAGAAATATTCTTCTTTTTTTTTGGTTTGTTACTGAATTTTGCTTGCTTAAGAACCCAATATATTGCTGCTTTACATTACCAAACTCATATGTCGCAGCTCGTCAAGAACTATTGGAATTCATACGGGGCATGTAGTTTTAGATTTGATTAACTTAAATGAAATAGTCTTCCCAGACATGCATAATAAACAAGAAAATCAAATTATGTACGTTGATCCAATTTGTTGTTCATGACAATATAGCTGTAGGCTGAGGTTTAGTTGTTAGCTGTGCTAGATTCATCAGGATTCCCTAGTTTTCCGCAAAACATCTAGAGAAGGAAATGGAAAGGAGGAAAATTCATCAGGCCGTAACTAAATTGAAATCATGGCTCAAACAAGTGTGCCTCTAATCTAAATTAAATTATAAATCTCATGTACTAAATACCCTCTAACTTCCTCTATGCAGATCGGTTCTGAGAGAATGCTAAGCAAAGATGTCATGAACAACAAAGTACATTGAACCGGGCCAGCTATCTCTTCTTATTTTGTTAATTACTAACGACAAGCCATTGCATTTCTTCATTTTCCTTTTCAGTGAAAAATAAAAAGATGCCGCTTCGTCTCATTTTATACAATTTTTGCACTCTTGCTTGTGTGGTAGCCTTTCTATGCTTCCTGTTCTTCATAAAAGAAATATACTAGTTTCGAAACAACCATGGCAAGCATGAAGACTCCATCAGTGAATTAAGCTAGATTTGATCTAATATCTGCGTTTCTGTAACATGCAGGGCCACAGAGGCAAAATTTCGTCTACGGTAAGAATCTTTGTTTTCTAACTAAATACAAGCTGCACATGTACTTCCCATGACTTGCAATTGACATGATCTGTTAGTTTTGGCTATTATCCACCCACGAATAGCAAAACACTTTCATGAACAAAATGAGGGCTTCTATATTTTGGCAAAAGGGAACAGCAGAAAGAAGTCCATGATCTAGTGTTTGAATATTATTTCTCCATAGTTTTCTGGCCAAGTCATTGGAGCGACCAGCAAAATCTACTTCTGTTTCCATGGCAGACAAAGAACAACATAACCCACAATAATCTCAATAGTTCAGGGACAAAACATTTCTCTCATCATAAATGATAACGTCTTGCAGAATTTAAACAACTTTTCCTGTATAATATTGGGAGGCTTGGTAGCAGAGCATATATTATTTGGCAACTCGAGAGGCTCTCGCTCAGATATTGACAAGGTTAGGCTAAGTTGAATCTCTCATGTTTCAGTTTGCCAGAGTTATTTGGATTGTTAGTGGACTTGACCAGTTTCCAATTATGGATCAGCTAAACCGTGTGCTTAGATGGCTGGGGTATACAGATATTGAGGCAGGCGTTCAGGTGAGATGGGCCGTATTAAATACTGCTTTCATTTTGCATCATCACAATGAAGCCAGATCAAAACTAGCAGAGGCCATAGCGCTGGGGAAGCCAGTAGGCTTTTGTATCGATGCCATTGAGAATGCCATATCCGGAGAGGAATGCTAGGTGATGTATTGACTCTTTCATCCGGCATTGTCTTTTTCTGAATTAATTTGTTCCTATTTTCATCTCAGTGAATCACTTTGCCAGGCACCTTATAGTAGTGAAAATGACGACTGCTAGAACCATACAAGAACCAAAACGCAAAACCAATAAATAACTTCAATCGCAATTCCGAATCATCAAGTCATAACACAACAAAAACTTTAGATATTTACCAGAAGAAAAACAAGAGAAGTCCTTGATCAAGCACAAGCCTTTCATTATGCTTATAAAGCTACATAATTTACCTGAGACATGTGTTCAAAGCACTAAAATAAAACCCAAAAAGGAAAAACTTAATGAGGCCATTTATATTACAGCAGAGAAAACCCCATACACCAAACAAAAAAGGCCTCTAAAGCAAAATACTAGAAAACCCTAGAATTCCTGAGAAACAGAACCAATTTCTCCTTTGCCTTTGCCCATCTTCTTCGGGAGAAGAGTCTGGTGAATATTAGGCAAAACACCTCCATTGGCAATAGTTACAGACCCAAGAAGCTTGCTTAGTTCTTCGTCATTCCTCACCGCAAGCTGTATATGCCTTGGCACGATACGGTTCTTCTTGTTATCCCTGGCTGCATTCCCAGCAAGCTCCAGAACCTAAATAAAAAGTTCATCACATGATCAACAATCACCACACAACTTATATGGCACCGCTTCATTAAGAAGACAAAGTAAAATAGAACATGCAAGTTCGTATATATACACAATCGACCAGAAGAAGGCAAAACAAAATACCATCATTGTTCAATAGCATCTTTCCTGACCAAAAATCAACTTTCACCACAAACGGAAAAGTTAAATCAACGAAATGAATATTCTCAATTTTCATCCGTAAAAATGATGAGGCCCTTCAGAAAATAGAAAAACAGTCAACTGATGCAAACCCCAAGCAACAAAAGAGACGTGGAATAGATATATGATAAAAGACATATTGCCAGAAACAAACAAAACCAAAATCGCCAGACATCAATTTAGTTGCACCAAAAAGAACCAACCATTTTCCAAGGAAAAAAAAAAGAAAGAAGGAAAGAAACCAACGGTACATTGTATACAATCATTTGCGAAATCCAAACCGACCCGAAAAAACAGAACAAAAAAATCCCAATCTGAGGAGAATAAGACTAGACAAGGATCTAACAACAATACTTCAGCCGCAAGATACTCTAGCACAGCAGAAAGGTAGACGGGAGCTCCAGCACCAACCCGCTCGGCGTATTTTCCTGCCTTAAGAAACCTCGCAATCCTTCCGACAGGGAACTGTAGCCCGGCCTTCTGCGACCTAGATACGGCTTTAGAGGCCTTAGGCTTACCCCTTCCTCCCTTGGTTGAACCACCACCTGTTGAACTCATCTTCAGATCGCACCAAATTAAAAGGAACTTCAACTCTGTTTCAAACCCTAACCCTAGGTGCTATACCGCGGAGGGAACAAGTGAAAGAAATTATACAAGAAAACGAATACTTTTCTTTGGCATATCGGTGCGTTTTATATAAGCAAGGAAGGCGGTCGCTGATTGGCGGAGGGAAGGATCTCGCGGATTGCCAGCGTGGATAAATAATTAAAATTTGTGTTGTCTCTGTTGCTGGCATTTAAGTTTTCGCGCGCGGCCATCTATTTTCGAGCATTTCAGGGAATTGCTGGAAACGACGACGTTTAGGTATGGGTCCGAATCATTCTCTTAGTATTTAAGAGAAAATTTTTATCTAATAATTCTGAAGTCTTGATGTACTTTTGAAAGTTAAAATTTCAATGTTCAGTTTTTAAAATTATACATATCACTCAAAAATTATGTAAATTAAATAATAATAATAATAATAATAATAATAACAATAATAATTTTTAAGATTATTTTCTAATAAATCTTTTTATTATTTCATAACAAAGCCATTGCTTGGGGGTCTGTTACTTCTGCGGGCCTAAAAACAGTTCATCTGGCACTTAAAGCCCAAATGTGTTGAACCTGGCCTGCAAGAAGCTGCTCTTTTAAATATGAAAGTGCCCAAATTTCTAGTAGGCTACAATTCATACTACAATGTTTCTCAAATATAGTGTATATATTTCAACCCTTAATTTTATGGGTGGTAAAATTTTAATATTTTATTTTAAAATTGAGTGTATTTGTTATTCAAGATTAGTCTTTGCATATTGATAAATTCATTGAAAAAAATTGCAATTTTTCTTTTATTTAATTAAAATTACTAAATTTAATTCCGGTTTTAAATTAAATTGCTTAACCACCCTTTACAATTAAGCTTAATATTTATAATAATTGATTAGTGGCCTTTTTTCTAAGGCAAATTAGTCTAAAAACGTGGTGTGTAATTTGATTGGAATTGATTTATAGAACACAATGTTTATAGGTGTAAATAATTGGCATAGATTAGATGCACGTACCCCACACGTTTTGGTGGCTATGTCGATCATAAGAATCTATGGGTGTGTTGGCTACCAACTAATCTATGTTTCAACTTTTTTAGGTCAATTTTCCCACAAATCATCTGCTTACAAGAACCCTAATTATCACTACGATTTGTCAAATAATGCAATTATTACGTATCCGAATTTCATGAAATGCCTTTTAATTAACATGACAAAAAATTCGAGTCAAAATTAGTTTTGCAAATTTTATTTTGTTCTTTTAATTCCATAATCATTTTTTTTTCTTACTAATGAAACTATAAAAATAAAAATAAAAGACAAAACTTTTATCAATGCGATATTAATATTGAATTAAATTTATTGAAAATTAACCTAAAAAAAAAAATTGAACGACACGAATTACACTTATTTTTATGAAATGAACCGAACCGATCTTGAATTTCTTGTTTGAAAACTCTACTCTATAATATACCCAAAACTTATGGAGCGCTGAGTAATTAATTTTGAAGACCCAAAATTTATATTTAATCAATATTTAATTCATAACCAACAAATGTTAATTATTACCGAAATACTCTCTGAATAATTAATTATATAATAAAGTAGGTAATTTATTATAATTAAAATTTACTATTTTTAGTAAAAAAAATGATATTATTTACAAATATAAATCATTATATATAATGGACGGACCTTGACTTATGCGAGATAAGTCTTGCAATAATAAAAAAGAAAAAAAAAAAAAAAAGAGAGAGAGAACAAAAGGACAAAATAGATAAGACCAGAAGTGATCAAAGCATAAACAACTAAAAATAAATAAAACGAAGGATGACGTGGGCAATTTTAATCCACACATCAATTATAATGTAAATATCACCTATTTAATTATTATTTTTAATTGAAGAAAATAGAAGAAAAAAAATAATATTAACAATATTTTTTTAAATAATCACAATTTTAATACACTATTTCAATTTACAAATTTATTTCTATTATTTTATCTAAAATTATTAATACATAAATTTTTTTGTTTTAATTTATCTCTTTGAAGGTATAGATACATCATTTTTTTTTTTAAATAAAACCTCAATGTATTAGTGTATATATTAATAAATTAATAAATTATATAATATATAAGATGACGATTATATTTAATTATATTAAAAATTTGTGTCATATTAATATTCCTAAAGAAATAATAAGTATATTGTAAAAAAAAAAATCATTAATTCAATACTTTTATATATAACCACAAATATTTTTTAGAAATAACAATATTAAAAAACCCCCCAAAAAAAAAAAAAAAAAAAAAAAAAACACTACTGAATTTATATATGTATATGTATATGTATATAAGGAAAAAGGTAAGGGGGATAAATAAAGGGGGAAAATCCAAATACTGTTGCGTGATG